AATTTCTAAAAAGAACTAACAATTGAGCCCTTTTATCGAGTTAACCTTAGTTCACCTTCCTCACATACTTGGCGATTAGGGCTTTGGTAGACGAATAGATCAAGTTCAAAGTTTAGTGAGAGATTATTTAATTGAAAGTTATGAATTTTTCAAAATTGATGAAATGTGTTTGTTCAAAAATGGAACGCCTTGTCAAAAATGGTACAAAAGATTTATGAGTCAATGGCACTCAGAACTAAACGAAAAAACAGCAACAAACATCGCATCTTTGAGAGCAGGGCCATGTACACTCGAAGTTTTTACCCTTTATTTTGATGTTTTGAAAAAACATTTTTATTTAGCAAAAATAGGTTTTAATAAAGCCATGCATTTGCGAAATTGTGATGAAACTGGTTTCAATGGTGACAAAGGCGATACGAAAGTAATTATCAGAAGAGGTGCAAAGAGTCCATTAGTATTGACTGGAAATAACGAAAAAATAAACTATACTGTTCTCAATTGTGTTAACGCTGACAGATTCCTTTTACCGCTTTTTGTTGTTTACAAATCAAAGAATCAACTCTATGATAATTGGATTAAAGGAGATCCACGAAACACACTTTACGCAACATCACCATATGGTTGGATTGAAAGTAATCAATTTTTGCAGTGGCTCAATGAAATGTTTATTCCTCACATTCAAAAAATTGATGGTCAACATATTTTACTTTTGGATGGCCACAGCACACACGTATTCTTAAGTGTAGCCTTAAAGAGTAAAGAAAGCAATGTAACACTAACTTGCAAAAAAATTCAGAAATGTAAGAACAGTGGCTGGTCAAACTTTTATAATTATATCCATAATTACAAGTCTTTTAAAATTTTCAGATATTTTTTATTGAAATAAACTTTGCTTAAAATTCATTTATAGTGCAATTAGGATTTTATTAGGGATTTTCTTTAGCGGATTTACCTTATTGTACTGAGACATTTTTTCAAACAAAAATGGTTATACTTCGATAATTTAATCAAAGTAATGACATTGTTAATGGCGAATGCTTTTTTTAAACGGCTTATAAGAATTTTTAAAGGAAAAAAAAAAGATGAAAATAATCTAATAATTAAACCCAGAAAAAATAAGAAAAATAAGAAAATAAATATTAAATAAAGAAGATGAAGAAAAACAACAACAAGCATTTGATCTGCACAAAAATAATTAAAAATTAAAAAAGAAATAACGAGGAAGATTTTTTTATTGCTTGTATTTTTCATTATATGTTGTTGTTATTTTTTATTTATGACTAATAATAGTCAAAAATTAATTTATTTTATCTTACCATGTAACATTTAGTTTAAAATTTTTGTTGGTTGTATCGTTTTTTTCTTCTTTTTTCATTTCAAATCGTTTATTCATTACGTATTATACGTTTTATTACTGTTTTTGCATGCTATGGTTTTGCTGACGTTTTATAATAATCATTATATTATTTGTATTATTTTGATCACTATTATTATAATTATTGCTATTATTAATTTTTCTTTTATTGTTATTATTATTTTTTATTAATTAATATAATTTTTTTCATTGTTAGTTATTGTTTTTATCAGTTTTTAACTGTTTGTAGATTTCCAACTATGTAGATAATAGTTTTTACAATTATAGTTACTATTATAATAATTATTATTATTGCTATCAATATTAATAATAATATTGTTATTCTTGCATCTATCATTGTTATTATATATTGTGTATTGCATATTACTATATTTTATTTTTATTATATTATTTTTTTATTATTTTATTTTTATTAAATTGTTAACATGGTATGGTGTATTTTATATTTTCATCGTTTTAATTTTTTTAAATAAATTTAATTTACGCTTGTTTTTATTTATTAATATTGTTGCAGTTTTTTTTTGTTTTGTTTTTTGGTTTATTTTACTTAGGTTTCTCCACTCCATTGACTATTTTTTAACTATATGAGTGATACCTAACCTGATTTTGTATAAACTATAATAAAATTCGTAATTTTTTAATTTTTTGATTGAATAAATGGATAAAAAAAAAAACTTAATTCAAAACTAGAACTTCCTTCATCGTTTTATAATTTAGATCGTTTAACGTTATAATTGCTGAATGTCTTTCCCACTGTCTTAGAAAAATCAATTATCACATTGTTGATAAAATCATTTTTAAAAAATTCAAACTGGGTATGATAGAAATATTTTTTTTAACATGACTTAATACTTAACATCGCTTAATAATCTTTCAAACCCAAGAAAGTTTAAAATTTGATCTGTATTATAATTCTCACGTTTTTATTTAAGAATTTTCAAACTTTTCCTAGTTTAGTCATGATCGTTTTGAAAAAAAAGTAATTTAAGCTTATGAAAAATTAAGTAGTAGTGCACTTGCCTTAGAAACAGTGGTAGTGCAGTGGTAGTGCAGGCACTTGCCTCAGAAATATTTGATCCGTGGATCGAACACCATCTCTGGGCAAAATTTGAGACATCGGTTAGGAAGGAAGCGTGAACTTCTTATTAAATGCTCTTCCGCAGTGCTCTGTGATTAGACCGTAAGGGTTTCTTAGGGCACATAACAAAAAAAGAAAATTTATTAGTTTTTCAGAAGAAAGGGTTTTGGTAGAAATTAGTCTAGCGCTTTGAACGAGTAAAGTTATTTTGCGTTTAAAACATCTATTAAAGTACAATTATGTTTAACTTTTAATCAAATAATTTAGTGGGCATATTTCATTGAAAAAAGATAAAAATGTAACTTACACCCACATTTCTCCACTAAACGGGGTAATGTGGGTCTATAGAATACAACTCATGTTAGTACTCTTTAGGCAACTTTAAAAATTATGTATAAACTTTTTTTGATGTATGTACTAAAAATGATTTCTAATCATTATTTTAAAACAAACGCATCCTCTTCTTGTCATTGCGATCTTTATATGTTTTAATCCACAAAATATGTAAGTTTTATTTTAACAACTATCTAAATGAACATACCAATTGAAAAAAAAAAAGTTTTGTAATAGGACATTTTTCAATAATTTACATCTTTTGAAACTCAATAAACTTGTACACATGATTAGCAAAACAAGAAGCTTTTGGGGTAAAACTAGTTCAAATCAATTATAAGAAATCTGAATCAATAATAATAATAATAATAATAGCAATAATAATAATAATAATAATAATAATAATAATAATAATAATAATATATATATAAACATATATATAAATATATATATATATATATATATACATATATATATATATATATATATATATATATATATATATATATATATATATATATATATATATATAATATATATATATATATATATATATATATATAATAATAAAGAGTAAACAATTTCTTATGACTTTTGAAGTGCTTTATTTTATTTGAAGTGTTGCGACATTTTATATAAAACTATAAAATGTTGAAATGAGTTTAAATAGGATTTTTTAACTCATTTCAGTGCTTAGGCAACACCTAGCAGTTGTTGAACTTCCCTAATCTCTTAATTCAATGCATAATATACTTTTAAAAACCTTATTCAATCTTCAAAAATAGTTAAATTGTCACATTAAAGAATAAATCAAAAATTGCATTGGTCAAAAATAAAAACTGCATTGGTATGAATAATAACAAAGTTGCATCACCCAAGTTCTTTGCCGCCACCAAGTTTGATCCCGATAACATCCCTGGTAGTACCGCGCTTAATATGTTTCTCTGCGTAGCGGCCTTGTTCTTCAAGTTTTGTGTTTCAGAGTTATAGTTAAGAGAGGGTTGTAGCCGCAACTTAAGTAGCTTCCTCAACTGTAGTGGTCTTCATAGCCTTTACAAGGTGAATGGAAATAAAAATAAATAGTGCCACAGAAAGTTTCCATTTATTTTAAATTGAGGTAAAATAAAGGTAATGATACTGCTAATGAAAGCAATTAAATCAATATCTTATTTAATAACTTCGCTTTTTGCATATATTTTTAGTTTATCTTTATTTTTCCTGATAAACTTAAAATTGCAATGCGATTTTGGTCTTTGAAATCTGAATATAAAACCTGTGTCTCAAATTACAGACCAAACTACAATTATCTTTAAATTTAATAGAACATATTAAATTAAAAGTAGTATTATTTTTTAACATCTTTTATTATAAACAACTTAGATTTAAAAAGGGTTATTCTACTGATCAGGCATATCGTTAAACTTGTTCATAATATTTTTAAATGATTAGATAAAAATAAATAAACATTAGATGTTTTTATTAATTTAAGCAAAGTTTTCGAAACTCTCAACAATTATATTTTGCTACCGTCAATGATTATATTTCAACACTGTTTTATATTTTGTTAATCATTATATTTTGACACTGCCAAAATTTTTTTTTAGCACTGTCAATGATTGATTTTTTGAAACTGTCAATCATTAAATTTTGACAGTGTCAATCATTATATTTTGACACTATCAATCATTAAATTTTGAAATTGTCGATCATTTTATTTTGGCACTATCAATCATTAAATTTTGAAATTGTCGATCATTTTATTTTGACATTTTCAATCATTATATTTTGATACTGTTAATGATTGTATTTTGAAATTTACCAATTATAAACGTAGGCTTGTTAAACCAGCAAAAGCAAACTTATAAATTGAATTATGTTTGTAGTGTTTTTAGGTTGGGTAAGTTTGTAGGAACTGTAAGTTATTGATCACATGACAAATTGCATCAACAAAATAGAATATTCAGTATAGATTACACATGATTCAAAACTTAACAATAGTTTATATTTTCCAAGTAAGAAAGAAACTATTTCAATCATATTACAGCTATTGAAATTAAAAATCTATATAAATCCAACTTATAAAAGAAAGAAATTTCATCAAGAAAGCTTATAACAATCACCTCCTCTTTTAAAAATTAATAAATGTATTCCTATTATTAATTTACGTAGTGTTTTATTTATATATGATGCATTTCTTATATTTGTATTTTAAAGGAACTAGCATTTTGGGGAGTTGATGAGCTAATGATGCAGCCATGTTGTTGGCCAAGCTACAGTGAATTCAATGATGCAAGCAAAAACCTAAAAGCTTTTCATGATTTCCCAATGAACCATTACCGCAAGAAGAAGAAACAAGTCCATAAATTTGAAAGCAAACAAACAAAAAAATGCTCTAAAAAAACACAATTTTACAAATTGAAAAAGGCATTATGGAATTTAACAGAAATCCCTCAAAAAAATTGGTTAACAAAGGTATAATTTAAAGGAAATAATAAAATAATTTGTTAAAACAATATTTTTAAAATATTTATTAGGGATTGAAAAAAAATAAAAAAAAATTTATATACTTTTGGAGTAAAGCTGAAAAAATGCCAATGTACACAAATAACTTCTATTCAAAATTTTATAAGCCTAGAATTATGTCTTTTGTTCATGACGTGTGACTTAAAAAAAACCACTAAAATATTTCACTATATACGCCTAACTATTGTTATTTACTTGCAAAAATTTGGAAAGAATGATGAAATTAAAAATCAACAAATACACTGTTTTTCACCTAACTAACATTTGTTAAGCATAATATTACTATACACTATAATATATAAAAACAAGAAAATAAGTATTCAAAATAAAAACTACTAAAATGTGTGTTAGGTCTTTAGGTTTTGTAGCGTCTCCTGCACCTAAATTCAGGCATGGCCTTTCTCGATTTTTTTTTGATTGGAGCGAATAAATCCGTCTCTTATATTATGACCACGAATTTTTATTCAGGCCTCCGTGACCAACTTTCAGGTTTTTTCCGCAGTTTTTAAGTGGCATAGAAACTTTGTAAAAAACTAGTCTTCTGTAGTTACATAAACCTTTAAGTATTGGTAATAGAGTTACTTCTCTGGAAGACCAGTTAATCAGTTCAATGTAGTCTTATCCCAACATATTTAACCGTCTCACTTAACTTTTTTGCTTTTATGACTTTTTGAATGCAAGGGTATTTGTATTTTCTTATCAGTAAACATCTCAGAAGAATATTTTCTTGAGATGTGAAGTAAGGATTAGAAGAAATCACTGGTATATTGAAGTAAGGATTAGAAGAAATCACTGGTATATTGAAGTAAGGATTAGAAGAAATCACTGGTATATTGAAGTAAGGATTAGAAGAAATTACTGGTTGATTCTGACGTTGCAGCTAACTTGATCAAAATATCTTGATGATCAAATGAATTAAAAAAATTCCAAGCTCCATCTTTAACTAAATGATGGATTTTGTTTCAACACTAAGATGAAACATACACTTAGATTGGAAAATCTTATTGGTACGTAAGTTATTTGATGATTCTTTAGTGAAAACATACAGTCTTAACACACTTCAAGTTGGTGTCAATCAGCAAGTCATGTTTAAAGAACTAGTTTTTATTAATGAGGTGTTATTTATGCAAAATATAATAAAACTTGTTAAACCTTGAACCTTAAAATGGTAATTAATATGCCACACTGGAGGCATATTAACTAATAGCACTAAAAAGTAACATGGATTAAAATTATGCACTAAAAAGTAACATGGATTATCATTATGGATTAGCACTAAAAATAGATTATCAATTGGATTATCAATATGGATTATATCAATCAATATCATGGATTATATCAATCAATATCATGGATTATCAATATGGATTAGCACTAAAAATTAACATGGATTATCAATCATTTAATAGCACTAAAAAGTAACATGGATTAAAAGTTAATTATTATCAAAATATGTTTTTAAGTGTTTCTATTTTAAAAGTATCTATGGATTACATTATTAACTATGCATTTCAGTATACAAATAAAAATGAAATAAAAGTTTAAATGGGCTTGCAAATTATATAAAAGCATCTCTCAACTTAAAATTTTTTATCCGACCATTGCAAAACTGTTAACACTAATTTTAAATTATTATTGTTATTGTGATTATTGTATTTACCTAAACGAATCTTAAACGGATACTTAAAAGGGAACTTCCGTCTCTATTTCAATGACTTTTAACTTTCGTCAGTATTTCAGTGTATTTTGTTCAAAAGCAAAAAATAACGTGTGTCACAAATCACGCTTGTAACATCAATCTATAACAATGTGAACCTACTAAGTTTAAACAACAAAAAAAATAAAATTTTAGAAATTATCTTTAATTGTTCTTTTGAGGCCTGAATTATTTTCAATCGATTAAAGTCTATTACTATTGATATTATAATTTTACAATTATCACAATTATCGTAAAAAAGTTAAATATATTAGAGTTAAATACATCAATAAGTTTAAATTAAATTCAAAAAGTAAAATCATTAGAAATAGGAAAAATAGTTTATTGTAACTTCTTTATAAAGGATGATGATTTAAGTTTTGTTTTTGCGTATAATAATACTCATACGAGTATTACTATCCTTTCATTTTGCTCATAGAGCAAAATGAAAGGATAATAATACTCCATACGGTATAGCAAAATGAAAGGATAGGCCAAGAAAATTCACATTTCAGAAAAAAGAGGATTCATTTCAAAAAACAGAGGAAAAGAAAATTCACTTTCAGAAAAAAGATGTTATGTCAAAAAAATTCGCATTTTGGAAAAATAGAACTATTTTAATAATAATATGAACAGGAAAAAGTTATTAATATTTTAATTTGATGATCGCTGGTGGTGAAAACTGGGTCACAAACATTTAAGGAAATAGTTAATAATACTTTAATTACATCTATAGGTTTTTTGTTTAAGCTAAATAAAAAAAAAATATTTGATAGATAATTTGTACGAAATGCAGCATAAAGATATGCCAGTCCAATCATCCTCACAAAGATAGCCTAATCATTCTCATAGATAGCTAGTCTTCAGAGGTAGCAGGTGTATGAAATTGATCTACGTTGAAGCTTTAGCCAATATTATCATAAAATAAGTTTCATGTAGATGATTTATGTAGAACAAGTTAACATAAATTTGTACTAAGCCAGTGCGCATTGGACATTCGGCTGACGTTAAGTGGAAGTTCAGATATTTAATGAACTTCTGTTAGACGTCAAAGAACGTTTGATGCTTACTGGGTATCAAAGACTAGTATTCGAAATTTGGTGTTTAGAATAAGAAGATTGAGCGCAAAAGTAATAATTTAACAGCATGAAGACGAAAACTGCTTGCAAAGGTTTTCGCCAAGATTTAGGGAAAAAATAACTTATGTTTCTTATAAACTCTTGTTTATAAGAAACATAAGTTAATTTTTTCTTTATGCTCAGAACTGCGCTGGACATTTCGTTAGGATTGTAAAGGAGGTAGCTCAAATAACACCTAGGTCCAACCATCCTCACTCTCCCCTGTTTGCATAATTGATGAATCTGAGAGTCAGAGTTTTTTTTTAAGCATATGTTTGTAAAAGATAATTGAATAATGCTCTAAATGCTTTATAAAGAGTGACTCGTAACATCGTATAAGTCATACGATGAGTCTATTAAAACATTTCCAATAATGACATAAAATCTTGTTGCCTTAATTTGTTTGGATATAAAATGTATCGCCACAAATAAAAAAAAATAAAAAGATAAAAAAATAAAGAGATAAAAAAATTTTTTGTTTATTATTGTGCCTCAAAAGTATTTTTCCCCGCCAGAAAATACTTTTGAGGCACAATAATTCAAATGTCGCCTTCAGTCACTATTTCATTGTAACAGGCTGCAATCTACAGGCTATAGGTGAAATTTTGACTCCTTACGCCATAAGAAATTAAAAAAATTTTAAGGTTTTTATAATATTTAATAAGTAACTAAGGAAAGTAAGATGGGCGCCCGCAGGATTTTTTGATGTTTCAGATATGATACTTTCACACATAGAACAAACTCCAAACTTAAGTATGATATACTAATCTAACTTAAGTATGATACACTAATATGATATCCAAACTTAAATATGATTAACTATAAGTAACTTAAGTTTTTTACCTATGCAAAACGAGGAGGTCTTGTAAAAAGTTGGTATGGCAGAGCCTGGGAAGAAAGAAGCATCAAAACATTATTCCCCCCTCCCCAAACGTAAGGACACTGATGTAGTAAAATTTTCAGCTATATAATCTTACACTATATAAAGTGACGACCATGCAAAAAAATTAGGGGGTTGTAAATATTGCATGATCATAACTTTTGTATTTTACAATATTTTGTAACGGCATTTAAAATCTATAGATAAATGTAAAATTAGTGTAAGTTAGTAAATATATAAAATAAAAATAATTTATTATTTTTACTTTTTACAAAATTTTTTTTGCAATGTTTGGAAAAAAAAATACAAATAAATTTGTTTTACTGTTTGTTAAAAAAATACTACTTCGTAATTTTTGAACTAAAGTAAAAAAACGCAGCTTTGTTTAATTACACTTCTCATGTGTTAAAAGTCTACCATGACGTCAAATACTAAATTTTTTATGAGCTAAACGCGCTCCATAGGAATTGCCGAAGTCTGCGTATAAATTATACGCATTAAATTAATGACTTCAAGTTTTTGAATAAAATGGAGAAGGCGAGCTTCGGCTAAAACAACAACATTAGTTTTTCTCGGTATGCATTCATTATTTATTTTTAATCAAAAAAACTTTTTTTTTTTTAGCAATATCTTTAATATGAACACAACATGTGTAGGGAGTTTGGGATCGCTTTAAGTGTCAAAAGACTTTTTTAAAAGTATAAACATTTATCTATTAAATTAGAAACAAAAAAATAGTTATTGCGTACATTATTAATATACAAAACATAAAAGTTAGAAAAAGTGTTAGAAAAAAGGCATGTTTTACAATTGGAGCCCAGGTAGTTTAACCATGATTTTACCTCCTTTTTACCAGTGTGAAACAAATATTATATGCAATTAATTAGCATCGGAATGTTGCCAATACATTAAAAAAAAAATTGCCTAAAAATTGCCTCTGATATATAAAGAATTAGTCGGAAAATGTCATTATTTAGAAATATAAATATTAGGTTTTGTGGTTTATCCTCCGCCAACTAATTGCCTTGTAGAGGCCACATTACCTAGGTCCGCAGATACTTGTTTCGGCTCCTAAAGGAGCTTCATAACCCGCTCTACAGACCGAGAGTAAGGTAAGTTTGGGAAAAACGAAAATATGTTAGAATGAAAGGCAGAAGTAGTTGTGTTAGAAAGATAGCATAGAGAAAGCAGACAATGCACACGATGTGAGATGGTGCAATAGTGCTTATATATAAACAGCCGACATAAACATATATATATATATATATATATATATATATATATATATATATATATATATATATATATATATATATATATATATATATATATATATATATATATATATATATATATATATATATATATATATATATATATATATATATATATATATATATATATATATATATATATATATATATATATATATATATATATATATATTTATATATATATATATATATATATATATATATATATATATATATATATATATAAATATTAGCATTTTACTAATGAAAATAAACACTTTGAAAACACTTTTTTTCGAGTCTTAGATCTTTTTATTGGAACTAAACGAATTACTATTATGGATTTGTGAATTATATTACATGTATTATTATTTTTATAAAAAAGCTGCTTATATTTAATATGTAAATGTTTTCGATACCAACCGAACATACCTTAATCACAACTACTAATTTAAAAACCAGTGAATTAAAGTATTAAACAAATTTTAATAAAAAAATTTAATAAATATTTTAAGTAAAAATGTATTTTTAATCAATAAAAAGTTATTAGTTTACATAAAAATTAGATATAATAATATGTGAACCAAATATCGCTCTTCTCGGGTTGGGAAACAATATCTTGCACTCCCAGGCAATCGCTTCGACATATTATGATAGATATTTTGCATATGCCATATATTCACTCAAATAATATTTTTATTATATTTAAAATTACATAGCTTCTTTAGTTTAAGCTGTACATCAAGTATCCGGAGTTACCCGCCGTTCGGGGCTACCTGATTTTCTTCTATATATAAAAAGACCAAAAGATTAGATTAGATTTTTTTTTTTTAAATATATTTTTGAAGGTTGTGTGCTGTCCAAAAGTAATTTATAGCCACATTGAACCATATGTACCAATATTTGAAAAATAATTTCAGTAGTTCAATTTTCTGAGACCCAGAATTTCACTTTTTTTAACCTGCCAGTTAAAAATAAAGGGAAAATCAGGTCTCAAATTTTTTTTATCAAAGTTTTTAATATTTATTTGCTGAAATTTATGTCATCAAAAAAAAAAAAAGATAAAAAAAAGTTTAGCTAAATAGAACTTAAAATATAAATGAATTATTTCAAAGGTTACTTTTTTATTAATAAGGCGGATAAATAAGTTTATTTTCTTTCGTTGAATATAAGATGAAATCGCTTGAACTTTAAATAGAGAATGTATATAATGTTTACAATACTTGCAGACAATAATAAGCAAATTTACTGTATTCCTTCCAAGGTTATCAAATTTTTGCGTGGATATTACCAAGGTTACCAAGTTTTTGCATGGATGTGTAAGCCATAAGGTTGAATTAAAGTTTTCATTTTTAAAAAATATTAAATTTTTCAAATTTTGCAGAGCCTTTAATTAAACGAAGAATATAAACAACCTTTCAACTCCAGTAGAAACCACCGCGCATAAAGAGCAAAATGATCTCCAAAAAGCAAAATTATTGGTGCTTCCAGAAGTCCTAGTAGTATGATTTGAAATTAACTTCATATTCAATTAAAAAACGCGGGCCTTATCTGTGGAAAACATTTCCAAATATTGTCAACAAAAACAAAACTTTATTAGAGCAATTTAAGAATGAATCAAAGCGATTACTACTGTTACGGGATCTTAATATATCCGACTTTAAATCTTTCTTTTCAAGTAACCTCAATCAAGTAAACAGATTTATTTATATCAATGAAATTTAAGCGATGATGTAAAAAATTCATCGAATGGTTATGTTAATTATGTAGTTTTATTATTATTATTATTTTTATTTTTTCATTCAAAAATATTTTTTTATGTGTTTCTTAAACATTTTAGCGATTGTAAACATTTTAACAATATTATTATAGTTTTAACACTAATTTTTGTTATATTAAATTTCTTAATTCTCTTAGTTTTTTTTCTGTTTTTATTTCTGATTTTAACTTTTTATATATTTATATGTTACGTTTATGTAGAACTTTTGAATTTTGAGGAGGTTTTGTTTTCATATTTTGTTTCAACCATATTTTGGAGAAGGCTAATTTTTTTTTTTTTTTTTACATAACCTATCATCCTTAACCCATAAGCATTTTGCGAAGATTAAGAAATAGTTTGGCAGTCTACATTAAATGAAATTTATATCCATTGGACGACCGTCGGACGTCTCACGGATTTTCCAAAATTAGATTTTTGTCATTTAAAAAAAAAAAATTTTAGCTGGGAAATTTCAATAGTTACACTTTATACATAATTAAACAATTTGATGGTTGTAATTGCAAATAAACAAAGAGAATTTGGGGGGGGGGGGGGGTTGTGCAATTAACATGCATGTTTGGAAAGTGGATTTTAAAATTTTCACCTTACCAATGATTAGGTTTGTATATAACTAGAGAGAGTACGATTTCGAAAAACAATATGAAATGCAAATTGAGAAAAAAAAAATTGACAAAAAATATGGTTGTAAAATATTATTTGATATATGCTGATATCTAGAGGTATCATTTAGGCTAGAATCAATATTATGTAACATTGAAGAGATAAAATACTAAAATTATAGACTTTAAAATACAATTTTGTTTTAGAGCAGTTATAACTCATATATGTCGTGTAAATTTGTGCATCGTTTATATATACCTGCTCATATGTTTATTGTTTATATTGTCGTGCATTTTTTTGGTGGTGTTGTTGCTAATTATTTTTATTATTGTTGCGTTAATGTATATACATATATATGTATATATATATATATATATATATATATATATATATATATATATATATATATATATATATATATATATATATATATATATATATATATATATATATATATATATATATATATATATATATATATATAATATATATATATATTATATATATATATATATATATATATATATATATATATATATATATAATATATATATTAATTGAGCCATAACTTTAACAACCGATCCGCAGCCACTTATGTAACAATATTTGCAATGATAAGATCATTTTTTTTAGATAGTTGCAAGCATTCAAGTTTTTACAACATTGCTATCTATTTTGACGTTTTGTTTGGCAACAGAACCAAAGCTGAAAACAAAATATGATATAGTATTCAATTATTTTGAAAAATCTTATTGTCTCATCTTTACAGTGGATTTACTTTTAAAGGTTTTATGCTGTCCATCATTTTGTAAACTTCTCAAAGATTTCTTGATATGGGTGGATGTTGTTTCATTACTTCCCTTTTATTTTGAATTTCTATTAAATGCAAACAACGAATTCCTTCAATCATTGCGGCTACTTCGAATTTTTAGAATACTAAGATTCTTCAGAAACTTAAGAGGAATGATGATGATAACGGTTTTTGGAGAGACTTTAAAAGCTAGTTTTGAACCGTTAATGTTGCTTGGTTTGGTTTTATTTATTCCAATGGTATTATTTGCTGCAATGGTTTATTATGCTGAAAAAGTAAGAAAAGTTTTGAAAATTTTACAAATAATTTATTTAATGTTTATATAGCGTAACAGGGTCGGCAAAACAATTTTAAACTGAAAAAATGCAATAAATTTTTTTTTATAAATTCTATATAAAAGCTAGATTAGAGGAATGCATCGTTAAAAAACGTGCGCAAATGCGTGGGTGTGTCCTTGCTCTCTCATCTCTCCTAGGGTGTCAGCCCTTGTCAACTCTTGCATAATGTTAAAAAAACTAAATGCAACATTCTTTAAAAAAACATTTTTTTTAGAACTTTAGTACAAATTCCCAATTCAAGAGTATCCCAAAATCATGCTGGTGGGCCATAATCACTCTGACCACTGTTGGATATGGAGATATAATACCTAGCTCAGTTGTTGGTAAAATTGTAGGCGTTTTTTGTGCAACGTTTGGAGTTCTAGTGGTTGCACTGCCTATATCCGTTATAGGTAATAACTTCACATTTTACTATTCGTATGCAAAAGCAAGCATGAAGCTACCTAAAAATAGGAGTAAACTCTTAATAGATCAAGATATACTAAACTTTAACGAAAAATGCGGTAAGTTTTAATAACCGTCTGTTATTAATAAAACTATTTACCGATATGTAAAATACAATTAATTAAATCCAACATAGCACATAAAACAAATAAAGAAAGTAAAAAAATAAAAACAAGCCGAATAAGCAAAAAAACCATAATATCAATATTATTTTGATAAACATTTTTTTCGTTTTTGATTTTAAAATCTTTTTATAAAAATCTACTCAAATATTTTACTAAACAATATATTTTTTTTTTTAATATTTTACTTAACAATATTTTTTTTTTAGATAATGAGCGTAACTCAAAATCACGTCGTTATGGACTACCGTCTCTATACTTTGATTCTCCAAAAATAAACACAAAAGTCAAACTTCAAGACGAATTATCAAAGTCAATTTTGTTACCAAAAATTTTGTTGTCTCCTCATTCAGATTCTAATATTGAACTGGAAGCAGCACTTTTTCAAACAAAAGACAGCACTTTAAAAGGTTTTGCAGAGACCAACTCTGGAATCAACAAAATCTATAAGAAAACCTCTTTAAACAAAATAACTAATAGCCCAATTTACATTACAAATAACTATGATAACAGTTTACTAAACAACGAAAATAAAGGAAACCTAAAACGCTCTTACTCCAATGTTAACGAGCCAATTCCTTTTATGCTCCCCTTTAACATTTCAAATGATTCTTGTTCAAGTTCACAAATTAGTCTGAAATCAACATCAGAAGAGCGAAAAAAAGTAATTCATGCAGATATTACTCAATACGTTCCAAGAAAACTAAGTGCTCGAGTCAGAGCAGAAATATGTCGGAAACTTAATGTTGAATATAATAATAACTACTGATGTATGTATGTATATATGTATGTATGTATGTATGTATGTATGTATGTATGTATGTATGTATGTATGTATGTATGTATGTATGTATGTATGTATGTATGTATGTATGTATGTATGTATGTATGTATGTATGTATGTATGTATGTATGTATGTATGTATGTATGTATATATGTATGTATGTATGTATGTATGTATGTATGTATGTATGTATGTATGTATGTATGTATGAATGTATGTACAGTTATTTATGTATAGGTATGTATGTAAGGCAATCCACCAATAGCATATTTAAGACATCTGCTTAACAAACATTTATTGTTTAACCATCATTAATAATTAATTGGAGATTGAGTTTTCTGATGGAGCAAAAAAATGAACGTTAAAAGAGGTGGCGCGACAAGATATTCTGTAACATTACTTACAACCTGCAATATCTAGACATTTAAACAACTGTATTATTTAACTGTGAATATAATTCATAGTAGAGAAACACAATCTAATTATAAATATCTAATCTAATTATATAAATATACTAATATAAATATTATTCATAATTTTGTCACCATACACTAAATTATTACCATTATTATCCAACGCAAATGTACGCAATGCATTTTATATGAAATATACAGTAATTCAATAAAGCAGTTATCAAATGTCCGCCATGCAAGCAGTTTTTCTTAAAACCCTTTACCTAGGTTTTCTTAAAAACCTAAAAGTTCTAGAAACTTTGAAAATTTTTTATAATTTTGGTGTATATAGGGTGTTAACGGGCTATTAAGCTGATTAACATTTTTGCATTTTAACATCTGTACCTCGCAGAAAATGAACGAAGTTAAAAACAATTTACGGTACTATCTGTTTTATAAGTCAAACGAAGCTACACGAAATATATGTAATTAGATTAGTCTATGAAGACATTGCAGCTAATCGAAAGTAATTCGAGATGAGCAATACGTTGCTTAACAAAGTGTTGCTCATCTCGATTTACTTTCGATAGTTTATAATAATTGGAAGCGTTTTTAAAGTAATCTTTAAAGTTCTTTGAAATCTCTGGCAATATTTCATAATCTCTGGCAATATTTCGAAGCCCTTTAGTAATAATAATTATAGATAATTTTTGAATATTCACAGATTAAAACAAACGCCAATTATCATCAATTTTCCAACAACTGATTATGAAATTAAAAAAAAAAAAAGAGTGGATAAAATTTGAATAATGAAAACAACAACCTAAAAATAATACTATTTATAGGAATATGTCGAATTAAATGAAATGTCAACTTTTAGTTTTTCTTTTTAAATAAAACTTTTAAAAAGAGATGTAATAAATTTTTTTCTTATTAATTTGCAAACGTAAAAGTTCAGAAGATTCAAAAAAATATCTTTTAATTTGTTTAGTTTATGATTTTCCTTTTGTGTTCAATATTTCTTGTGCTATTTCTTATATAAAGATATTCTGCAAAATATTCCCTAAAATTTTTATTACTAATTTAAATTGAAAATTCAATAGCAAAAAGTCATAGAATGAAGTTAACATAGAAGATTTGATTGCAAGAACAACAATAATGCAAACTTTAGGGAATCAGACTCTATAAATGTACTCGAGCAGCAAGCAGAGTCAATTTGAATTTAAGAAGTTTTGATGTAAATAGAATTATTATTTAACATGAAGTGATTTAATTGAATTTATATGTTTCTGAAAAAAGAAAAAACTTAAAAAATAACTTATATTACGTGCAACCAAAAAAAAAATTTACTATTATTGGGTAGGAAAAAATTACATTCAGACAAGATGTTTTCTGAGAACCTAAATAGCAATAATTGACTTTGCAATAGAACAAGATTCCTGAAAGGTTTGTTATGGATTCTAAACTTTTTATGTTGTAAAAATTGTAAATTTATTTTTTGTTTTATATGGTATGTAATAAAATATCTTTATTTTAATATGAAAATTTTTGAAGCTATTGGATTGTAGTTTATGTTGACCTTAGTTTCAACAGATTTTTTTTTGTGTGTGATTAAGATGCTCCTAAAAATCCTTATGATCTTATCAAAAGGGAACCGCGGAAAAAGCAATCAACTTAAAAATACGGCGACAAATATCGCATATTGGGCTAAAACCGACGTCGAATCTCAAACTTCTTGATTTTGAGCCAGAACTCTAACCATTGCGCCACGGCTGCATATTACCTTGCAGATTATCTGACAATAAGGATAAATTTTTTGCTTAATATTTTATTAAGTAATAAAATGTTTTTTTGTCAATCTTAAGTAAAAAAAGATAGATAACACGGTGTTTAATGAGCTTGCTACTGAGAGGTCCGGGGTTTGATATCAACTCTAAACATTTTTGCGACATGAGTGAGAATTTCATAGTTAAACGCACTTCCACAGTGCTTTGTGACAAGACCGATAAGTTTGCTTGAGTAACCTTTATGACCAGGATAGTAAATAGTTTTAGAAAAAAAATAGAAAATCATATTTGAGAAAAATTCTTAAAATATTTAATAACTAATAGTTTGTCATTTAGTTTAGTAGTTTACGATTTCTTGTAATTTTTATCATTTTACTAGTTACTTTCCTAAACTCGATTTACAAATAAAGAATAAACAGCAATTTTTTAATTAACTTTCATTTTTCATGAGAATGCTAAAAAGTTTACTATTTGTGTTATTTTGTTTTATATTTGTTATTTCTAATACTTAACGACTCTACGTTTGCGTCTATTTTTGCTTGATTTTTGCTTACAAAAGAAATCGGAATTTCTGTCACAGACAATTTATCTTTACGAATTCTTTGTGAAAACGTATTTATTGATAACGGCTTTCTAATTTTTGGTTGCTTTTTAATAGAGAAGCTATCTAGATCGTCTTTTGATCGTAAACTACCCGGGTTGAACGCATTCCATGCTCTTGATTTCCAGGAGTCTTTCATTCCTTTCCACTCTTCGTTGCTAATAAAATTCTCATAGATATCATCCTCGCTCTTGTTTAATGGAGACTTGCTTTGAAAACCAAGCCCTCCTGTTTTATTTATATTTTTACGACGGGATATATCTTCATCAGAGCTAAATAGTGATTCTTTTCTTTTTTGAGTAGGTGAAAACAACTGTTTAAGTCTTAAGCTAAGTTTGCGAGGAGTAGAGGGTTTGGATGTTGCCAAACCGTTTTCGTTAGTTAATGGATCAGTGTTTGCTGAGTTCATTTTAATTTCAAATAAATCATCTGTAATTTGAGTTTTTAGGGGATCTGTTTTTGTCGTTGGAGTTGTTGGTCTTGTTGACCTTGTTGACGTATCAACCTCTAAATATTTAGGAATGGTAACTTTTCCAATATTGACTGTAGTATAGTTTTCGTTGGTCCGTTTTGTATCCGGCGAAATTTGATGTAACCAGGTGTTATTGCATGATGCATCAGAAAAGAATGCGTTTTGAGTTTTAAATGATGGGTATTGTTGCTCCACATTATTAGCTATACTTTTAGCGTTGCTTTCATAAACACTTGAGTTGTTATTTATTTCGTATAGTTTCTGGCTTGCTGAGTCATTGTTATCGTAGAGTATTTTTAAAGTTTTATTCGTTTTATCTAATTTATCTGAATCGCTGATTTTGAATTTATTCGGCAAGGTATAACTTTTATTTATTTTCAATGGCTCATTGTTTGCAAGTTGTTTTTGTAAAATGTAACTTGTTTCAGGTTTTTCTTTTTCGTTGTTTTCATACCAATTTTTTGAAATATTATCTAGTTTTGCTGGCTCATTGTTTTCAAAGTGTTTTATGAAAGAATTACTTCTAACGAGTTTTGGAGACTTAGCGCTATCGTGCTGTTTTATAAATGCTTTATTTGTAAGGAATTTTTTTGAATCAATTTCAAATGGATTGTTTTTTTGTTCTAAATCACTTGAACTTAAACTTTTTACAAAGCCATTAGAAAATGGTTGTACAAATTTAGATTCGTCTTTTGTTAAATATGTATTTTCATTTACTACTCTTGACTTAGTGTTTTTGACATTTTTTGTATCGAGTGAGTTAAATTGAGAACCTACCATTTTTGTATTTTTAAACTGATATTTTTGATAGTTGTTATTTGACCAATCGTTTTCCCGCAACAATAATTGCTTCGTTTCCATAACCATTTTAGAGGTATCATTTTTGGCATCTAATTTGTTAATCTCGTAATTTTCCAATAACAATAATTGCCTTGAATCTGTAACAGTTTTAGAAATGTAGCTTTCCGTATTACCTCCGTTAACCTCGCTGCTTTTTGTGTTTTTTTCCGAACGATTAGTTTCTCCTGAACTAATCTGAAGTCCAACGAGCAATTCAGAATCTGTCAAACTAAACGTCCGCGGACTATTAGATTGATAATGTCTAGAATGTCCGAGTTCGTCATTCATTGTACCCAATTTTATAAAATTATTTTCATCATCTAATAAATTTGAGTGTTGGGGAGTAAATTGATTTTCCGATAGAAAACGTCTTGTCTCATCAAGCCGATCCCAACCATTTTTATCTAATAAATGAAAGTTTAACATTTCAACTACGGCGCCTTTGTTAATTGGCCGCAAGTCAACTTTTTTTACTGACTTGTCAGGTTGCGATTCATTTAAAGAATATACATGGTTTGAAAGATGTTCTTGTTTAGGAGAGGTTATGACGCTGTGGATTGGACTTGTTGATTTGTTTGAGGGAGAAAAGTTATTCATTTTTAAAACCAAAGTAGGAGATTGAACTCTACTTGTTGAAGACTTTTTACCATGGGTCATAACAAAACTTTCAAAAGAGTTATTTGCATTTTTGGTTTTTATGAGCTGATCGTCAGGTTTACTTTTTAAATTTTCAGAAAGTTCGGAATAACCAGAAAACTCAGAGTTAACGGAAACTATATTCCGAGCTTCTATTCCATTGTGTGTATGGTCAATAAAATCGACATTGGCCAATAATTTATGAGGAGTGTAAACTTCTTGCGGTTTTTTAGACGTGGCTTCAATAGTTCTTAACAAAACCGCTGCTTTTATTTCGTTTATTAGTGTTTCGCGCTTTTTTAGTTCTTCTTTATCCTCTGTGCTAAATCGAAGAGTCTGGTAAGGAGTTGGCATTTTTTTCTTTTCATTCAAATTCTGTTCCACTGCAGAGTTAATAAAATTGGGCGAATTTGAAGAATGGATTGAACTTTGTTTTAAATGTTCTAAATTTTCGGTCATTTTACTATTTAAGTAAGTGTGTATTCTATCGTTAACAACCTCATTTGAGGTTTCATGTTTGTTTAAGAACAGTTGCTGGTTTACTACTGGTTTTTTCTCGTGTACTTTACCATTAATTGAGCTCATTCTTTCTTTAAGTATATTTTCAAGTTTAAAATGAATGCTTTTTTTACCGTCTTCATCTTCGTTTAATTCTTGGAAGAAAAAGTCATTATTTATTTTAGATTCAATGATGAAATTGGCCTCGTTATCATTGCTTCGCAAGTTAACATTACCAATGGAAGTCGGTATAACTAATTGATGATAACCATTTGATTCTCCTGAAATAATTCAAAACTATGTCTATTAATTAAATTTAAATATCAAAATACTCCCTCCCCTTTATTTCAGTCAGTCAGCACATTGATTATTTTTTAAAATAAAATTTAATCATTATTAAGATTTTAACTAATTAATAAAATAGTAAAAACATAAATATTATATTATTATTTTAATATTACATTATAAATATAAAATTAATTAAAGTAAATAGTAAAACTTAATTTGAAAAACTAACGTTAAACATTTTGTTATTCTTTCGGTTCTAAATATATTGATAAAACTCAGGTGATTGCAACTAATGCAGTTTAAAAACGTAAAAGGATTGTACCAAGTATGCTTAAACTTAAAAAAGAATTTATATATTCAACACATTTTTTAAATTAATTTATGAAGGTTTAGGTAAAATGAATTTTATGAAAGTTTTTTTCATATTTATATAAAGAATGGAACTCAAAAAAAAAATTGATAAATTCCCAAATGCTTAAGTATAAACTTTAAGGAATTTTTCAGTTAATCTTTTTGATCTAATCGCCCTCCGTTATTATCGTTAACGTTCCTTAAATACCCTTTTTACTAGTCATTAAAAAGGTTAACCAGGGCAATAAAGAGATTATACAATTTCAATAAAGAGATTATACAATTCTTTTATTTTATTTTGAAATATATATTATTAAATAAAAAATACTTAAATTTAAATTTCATAATGTTGAATCGAAACGTGATTCGAATTGCGAATCAAAACCTGCATTGATTCGAGATTCGATTCGAAACAAAAACTGCCGATTCGCAGGGCCCTAGAAATAATATTCTTTTTTTTTCTAATTAAAAACAGTTAAATTAATTATGCAAATTTTTTCAAATTTTTTTTTAGTTTATTACAGAAATAAGAGTAGCATCACTTTAAATGGGTGAAAAAGTTATAAAATAAGTTAATTAAATATAAATTATTTAAAAAATTAAATATAAATTAAAATAAATTTCAAGGCAAGTTTTTTTGCTTCGTTTTGGTTTGAATAACTCAAATGTTTTAATTTATATTAGTATTTGTGATTTATCAGCGTAAAATATTCTAATGTGCATACGCAGTTGCAGTACGTACCTTAAGGTAAAAGTAAAATTTATTTAAAAAATACGTGGTACTCTATTGTAAATAGGATTTTAATTGAAAACTGAAAATTTAATCATTCTCAATTTAAAATTATCATTTATGCTGCTACGCGTCTTAGGTACATTTTTAATATCAAGTTCAACTTATTTGACTTAAGCAATTATAATAATTTTTTATATATTTATACCGAACTGTTTTACAATTTTTCTCGTTTTTCAATTTTTCAGGTTTATAGTGCCACAATAAGTCCAACTCTGAGCCATCAGGAAAATATGTAGATGAAAAGAGTTTAAAAGTGCCTCAGGAGTTTCTCGAATCATACAGTATAAAAACAAATTTTCTAATAGCTTGTCTATATTTATCAAAGATGGAATAAAACATGGGTCAACTAATAGTATCAATTTTCACAAAAGTTTTTAAGAACCAGTATTAGTGCATATTTTCTTCCTCAATAGCTTTATCGATAATACAACTTTTTTTTTGGCATACTGACTTCTAGTCAGTATGACTAGAAGTCAGTGTTTGACATTATGATTTCTAGTCAGTATTGACATTATGACTTCTAGTCAGTATTGAGTTCTCACCTTCTTTGTTATTGTTGTTTATGTACTATTATGTGTTTGCGTATTATTAAATATATGTAAGTATGCTGCTTTTGAAACTGAATCACCCTTTACCAGCGGTTTGGCATTTTAGTCAGCGGAAATGTAAACACAACAGCCTTTGGTGTAACGTGGTTACACACAACAATATTATCGTATGGCTCTTTAACTTCTTCTAAACAACCTATTGGTCAATTTTTAAGTTTTTGTTTTACTTTTTTAAAGCCCAACATCCTTATAAATAAAAAAATTATGTTTGTTGACATCTTTTTCATAGGAATGTTCCATAAACGCACTGCACGGCGGTCAAGAACACATGCTTATAATGCAAAAGCATGCGTAACTACCCAAGATATTTCAATTATTGCAATGTAAATCAAAAAAAGTGTTGCGTGCAATAATGAGTAAAGTACAATAAAAACTTTGTTTTATTTTCTTGGTATTCTATTGGTAAGCCTTGCGATTATTTTAGAAGTGAAGCTCTGAGAGCTTCATTCCTTAAATAATCGGCCAATAATAATAAAATAAAAAATAATAAAAGACCAATGCTATTTTATATTAAAATTAATAAAAGAGCATTTTAAAACTAAAAGGAAAAATAAAATTAATCGTTACTTAAAAAGTAGATTGCACGGCATCTCAAGGCAAAACATGCGGTCTCTTGGCAACAGAGATGTAAGTAATCCAAATAAAAAATGTAGTTGAAATAGTTAAAACACCTAATTAAGATGAATTAATCAATATGACTTTTTAAACATATAAAGATATTAACCGATGTAAAAAAAACTTTTTAACCACGCCTTTTATCTCTCTGGATACTCTCTATCAAAAATGGATTTGTTTTATAAACAATGTTTGAAGTTATTATTTGAAAATTAATGTAAAAAAATGGTAAATATGTAATATAAAGTAAATATGAAACAAAAGATAATGTTACCTAAAATGAAAGATTTTTTTTTTTAAATGTTCAACTTAATTTAGTAATTTAATTTCTTTATTTTTAATTTTTTTCTTTAGAAAAACTGATTTGAAAAATTGTTTAGAAAAAAACAAAAATACATGACTTGACATTTGTTACATAAAAAAAAAATAAAAAAGATTTCTATTTATCATAAGCTTTTTTTATTTTTTTTTCAGAATTTCTTTTTAGATTAGAAACTATCGTTTTAGGTTAGAAACTATCGTTTTAAATTAGAAACTATCGTTTTAGATTAAAAACTATGGCATAACCAGAAACTTATACTTTTTTTGTTTTTCTCATTGCAATCGATGAATTGAAGTTGCTAAAAATGCTTTGCCAAGACTTTAAAATAAATTTTCAACACAATTCAAAAAAATTATAATAAATCTGCTGTTAAAAAAAAAAGAGTACCATATAGTCAAATCAAAACAATTATATTTAAGAGATAATAATATCATCTTTTTAATATAATATAATATATATATATATATATATATATATATATATATATATATATATATATATATATATATATATATATATATATATATATATATATATATATATATATATATATATATATATATGTATATATATATATATATATATATATATATATATATATATATATATATATATATATATATATATATATATATATATATAATCAATAAAAGCTAATATTATAAGCTTTAATTTTATATAAAAGCTTGAGATGATAAACACAACTTATAAAAGTTTGTTTTAATTATTCTTACAATTAAATAACCACATAAAGAGTCATGTTGCCCCATATAATTACATCGCCTGCCTAGCAACTATTGCCTAGCAACTGATTATTTATCGAAATATCATAATTACATCTTTAGTCTAGTTCATAAATACAAAATAATTTACCTTTTGAGGAATAGCGAGGAGTTTCCCTTGGCGTCGATGTTACTTTCATAATCAAACCTCTACTATCTACTAAGTTTGACTCCTCAAGTGTTTCTTTCGGTGAATGGTATTCTATTGAATCTTGCGCATACTTTGTTTGCCCTTCAAGGTTAGTAACATTATTCTCTACATCTTTGTTTTTCTTTATGGCATCGCTTTTTATTTTATAAATAGAAAACCTCTTTTCGAAATATAAATTATTCATGTTATTGTGAATTAGTTTCTTTTGCGTTTCAAACGCACTATTCATTGCTTCACTTTGATTTGATTGAGGCGATTTTACCGAATATAATTTATCTTTTCGTTGTTTAATACTATTAAAACGTTTCTTTAAACGATTCAATTTCAATAGTTCACTGTTTTTTTCGTCGTCTTGCGAATTTTTTATAGGTAATGTATTTTTTAAACCAGTGTTATTTATATATTCATCTAGACTAAAGTTGTTAAGGGATGTTTTTGTTTCATCAAAAGCATTGTATTCAATTTGACTACTTGTGTTTTTTTCGTCAGCAAATTGTTTATATTCTTGAGCAACTGGGGACTGTGGAGATTTTAAAAAATTTCTTATTGAATATTTTTGAATGTTCTTTATGTTTATTTTTGAGGACAGAGGGGAATCAGTAGTTGTTATTTCAAATTGATTATTTTTAGAATATGCGTTGTCAAGACTACTATAACTAGTTGGTAACTGAACTCCAATTTCTTCTATGTTATGATTTTTTTTCCGAAATATTCTTTTTTGTTCAAGTTTATCACCAAAGTTTAAATGGCTTGACGAGCGTAAATCGATGTCACTTATTTTGTAATTCAAAAACTTGCTACGCGTTTTAATGCCTATCACATGGTCGTTGACTTTATTAAAATTTTTAAAATCACTTATTGAAGGACCTTTTTTTACTTCAAGTGAATTTAAACGGCTATCCTCTTTTCTTTCCTGATCTAATCCGTTGGGAATAATTGGAGGCTTATTATGATTATTTTCAAAAACAACTGGCTCTAAAACATCGCGCTGATTTTCCGAATGTGCGCGTTTAAAAAGGTCATTTAAGCTAGTAGCATCGATATTTATAAGTTTACTCGATTGCTCAAGATTAAAGGTCTTGTTTGAACGACTGCTTTGATTCAACGAGTTGGTATTTGAAATATTAGGGTTGTTAACGAAAATCTTTTCTGCCATCTTAAAAAAATGATTTTAAAAATAATATATTGATAACCACAACTTGAGTAGAATAACAAATTTATAACAGCAATTATACTTTAGTGAAATAATTCAATTAACAAATAAAAATTGTAAATACAAAATGAATAAAACTTTAATATTAGATTTAAAAAGAAATCGACAACATAAAATATATAAGTTATTGTTTATAGAAAAAAAAAAAAAAACAGTTAAAAAAAATAACGTTTCTTAAAGTGTCCATTTGATTTAAAAAATATATAAATAAATATATTCTCATTACTTATTGGATCTTATTTATTATAAATAGATAGATAAAAATTATATATTATATTCATATATAAGATAGATAAAAATTATAAATATATTAACGTAACTTATTGGATCTTATTAATTATAAATGATATATATCTTATTTATTATTTTAGATAGTAAAAATATTCAAAAGTAAAAAGAAAGTTATTTTTTCTGTTAAAAAATACAATAAAGAAACACAAACAAAATAAGCGAACATTTTTAAAAATAATGCATTATGTTTAATAGGGAAAAATATACGTCAGCAATTGCCATGTAAAAACTAAAGGTAAGTTCAATCGTACAACCATAGGCTATGGTTCGTTCTATGGCACAACCATAAAACATCTAAGTTGCTATTTCAAGTTTGAGTCGCATAGTATCATTGTGCTAACAAAATCTTTTTAACAAGTAACTATCTTTAACAATCTCTTTCTCCCATTGAAATCCCTCAAAACGTTTATGAAACATTAGGCCGAGTGAATAAAAAAAAAAGCAATTACTTTTACTCCGCGTTTTTGGAAAATGCTAAGAGCGGAAAACACTAAACAGCGTTTTAGCAAAATCGCTATAAATTTTATCCACTGAGCAATTTACTCCAAAAACGCTGAGCAATTGCTCAGCTTTATATGATTAAAATTTGAGCAAAGTTGCTCAAATTTTTAATAATTTTATTTGCTCGATAATTTTTTTTAAATTTAAACTTAACTAGTACGTTTTTGTTTAAAAACATTATGATTTAATTATTAACATATATATCTATGATTGGACACAATATAAATATAATTAACATAAAAACATTAAATTTTTTATGAAATCTAAAAGTATCATAACAAGATTTAAATAAATATACAGTAATTTAGAGGAAACTTTATTTAATTTATTTAATTTACTTTATTATTGTCGGACACGCCGTCAGAGTCCTAAATATATATATTTTTGTTTCTTTTTTTTTTAATTTTTGTTTAAGGTGCCCGAAGAAGACCTAGCGGTCTTGTCACAGAGCACCACGGAAGAGCACCACGGAAGAGCATTTAAATGTATTACTGTTCTAATAAATTTAAATCAAATCAAATCAATTATAAATTTTTTTCACTATAATGAAATAAAATACCTCCAAAAATTTACGCAGAATTAAAATTGAAAAATGAGTGCAAAGCTTATTAAAATAAAAAAATATTTAAAAAACATTGTGAGAGCTTTTTAAGTAAAACAAACTCACGAATAGTTGATTATGATTTAAAAGAAAAATAAAACGGTTCTTTTTTTTTTTTTTTAGATGGTTCTTTACTTTTTTTAAATTACTTTACTTATTTTTTGATGATGATAAAATACTCTGTTGAAATTTTTTATATGAAACAAAGGTTGGAAGTTGCATAAATTAAATATTTATATTTTCCAAAAAAATTATTATTTTTTCCCAAAAAAATTCTTTTATTGTTTCTTTCACGTTTTTCACGTTTGAACTCCATAGTGAAAGCTTCTGACCCCAATATTTAATTTTTTTAATATTTTAATTCAAAATAACAAAATTTTAACATGTACTTTAAATGCTTCAGCATCAACAAACACATGTACTTTAAGAAATCAAGCAACAAAACAAGACAAGCTCTATCACCTTTACAGCAGAGCCAGGTCCAATTACGTATTGTAATTCTATTTGGTAAAAATGGGCTAATTTGGAATACTTTTATTCAAATTGTATTTGATAAAAATTTGTCTTAAATATTTGTATTTTTATATGATTAAAATGTATTTACAGTTAACCATAAACTAGGATAGCCATACATATATTTGCATAACCATTAACTAGGTTAATCAGTTTTTTTTTGAAAATACAAGGGTTTCGTTATTTTTTTCATTTTTAACACAAAATAAATTAAAATTTTGTTTCTAGGAGATATTTGTTAAATGACTTGTTTTCATTTTTCTATATAGTAGACCATTTTATCAGTCTTGTCTTGACTTAAATTGCAAGTATTTGTATTTTTTTTAATTGCATATATTTGTATTTGATTTTGTATTTGAAAATCTAGAATTTACATATTTGTATTTGAATTTGATAAAACGTATTTGTCCTCAACCGTGATAATTAGTTGATGATTTTTCGTATATTAACCTCTGTTCTGCAAATTACAAAAACTACTAAAGTTTCATAAAATATTATTTAAGATGATGTATATATTGCAAGTTGATTTAAATTAATTAATACTTTTGTGTTATTTATTCAGAAAATTTACTTTTAAGATCAGTATAGTTCAGCTGCGATTTAAGAATTTGCCAAATATTCCAGTAAAAACGAGATTTTAAACATCAAAAATAATAGAAATTTGTCAGTGGTTAAAGCTTGTAGAGATTCTTGTTAAAGGTTGTAGAAATTATAATGTCCAAAACATTTTGTGAATTTACGCTGGACTTTTTTAAGTTAACACAAAATCTTTAAACATAATGTTAATCGCTTAATCTTTAAACATATTGTCTAGTTAATCGCTTGAGTAAATTTTAGTAACAAATTCTTTAGTTAATACTTTACTACTCCTTAATACTCTAATTTTTTCTTTTTGCAAAATGAAATTATGATAAAACATAAATTTTTATCCCTTCTCAAAACATATATTTAATAAAATCAAATACAAAACATTGTGACATTTTGATAGATAGCTTAATTTTAGAAAGTATAATATACAGGTAAAGGGACCTAATAATGCAGCAGGACCTCAGAACAACAGGTTTTTAATTAAAAACATAAAACACGAAATTTTCTATTAACTAATGAAAGCCATGAATAACCTGAACGTCAACTAGCCATCAAAAAGCCATTAAAGCCATCAATAACCTGAACGTCAACTAGTCATCAAAAAGCCATTAAAAAAAGTCACTAGCCATTAAAAAAAACTTTTAAACAATTTTAAGTTTTTTGAGCCCTTATGAAAATCAGTTTGCATAATGTTATCAGAAACGTTGCTTTAAGGCTCTAATAAACAGTGCTAAAAAGATGCGTGCACAGAAAAAATCCAACTTTTTTAAAATTGCATTTTTAATTACCTAGCCTTTTGAGGTACCGATTCAAAATACTGTATTATAAACTTCATTGATTTGTTGAAGAAGTTGAAAATAAAATGTAACATTAACAATTTAAAAAAAAAATCATATAATGAATAAAAAAATGCTAAAAAAAAAAAGATCTATATAAGCTACAATCCAAAATTAGCAAAAAAAGAACGATACGTTGTATTCTGGAAGGAATTTGAGGCAGGAAAGAAATCTTCAACGTTATTTTTATCAGATTTAAACTAAAAACATTTAGTTGTTCCTTTTTCAGTAAATGGTTTGGTTATATATGGTTTTGAACCTGTTTCACCTCGACATGACTTTTAATGCATGTAGATTTTAAAACGTTATGGAAACGCAAGCATTCTTGAAGCTGAGTCGCAGCACAAACATTCTTGTTGCATGTACCTTCTTCCTTACATTTATAGAATATAATAATTTGTTGTTGCTGCATAAATTTTATTGTTTTGCTCCTTTTTGGCTTTGTCTTTTTTGATTGATAGAACCGTATATTTTTTCCACCTCCATTGAGCCGTGGATCGGGAAAACTTAAACATTTTCCTTGTTCATTTTAGTTCCTACATTAGTTACAGGCAACATAAGGTATTTCTTCAATTGATATTTATTTATCAGATATTGTTTGATAAGCTTTTATGGCACTTCCATTGCACTTTCGTGCACACAAATGGCAGGCCGTTTTATATTGTTTTTTTTCTAAATAGTGGTCAAACATTTAGTATGCACTTAAAACTGTACTGTGATCTTGGCAGCCATTGCCACTTGTGGAGATTAGAAGATTTAGATTTCGATTAACTACTTCCTTCGAAACCATGTTGGCACTAATCCTTTTTCCCTTAACACTTTGCTATACCTCTTCCAGAGGAAATAAAAGGATGTATAGGTACGCATTCCCTCTTTTCACATATCATCTTTTAAAATCTTTCCCCTTTTCTGGCAGTACTCGCATAAGCTAAATCATTTAGAGTACCATCAACTCTATAGTTTACAAACTGGGGGGTTTGTAAACTATGGTTTGTAAAGTCTAGTGGTATCAATATCTCTCTTCCTTACACCTGTCTCTTATTGATTTGCATTAATGAAAATGTTACTTTTCATAAGTTTTTCAGCTAACTCGATTAAATGGTTTCACGTCATTTCTTTTGAGCAGTTAAGGACAAAATTTATAGATACAGTTTCCTGTCTCTTTTTGTGAGGCATTTTTAATATTTTGCATCCTAAAGCTTTCAAAAAGACTTGCTAAGTTTCTTTATTTGAAGTGCTCGCTGAACATTTGGTGTAAGCTCAATAATCTGGCCTCCCCGGAGGATTCTAAATCCTTGCTTTCTTACTCCCAAAACATTCAGCATTGATTTTGTAAACTCTGATTTGTTTAAACCTTTGAGGCATCTAAATAAATGAAATTACAAATAAAAATTACCAAATAAATAAACACTATAAGATTAGTTTGTTAATGCAATAATCATAAAAAAAAAAAGGTAAGAAAAAAGTTTTATTTTTCAACCATGTGTACTATCTATTCTTATTTTTTAAATAACAAACTAGCAACTCTTCCTCATTTTTGGTAACAGTTGAGGAATATTCCTTCTCTTTCTTCTTCTTCCTTCTCTCTCCCAAGTTCAATTATACCATCAAGT